CAGCTGTCTTGATACTGTACTTTGAACATTGGAAACATCTAGCAATTCAAAGGTCATTTTTTAAAGAATTAAGTTGGGAAGTGTTTATTAAGAATGTGCAAGGCTTTTAGGCAGCGATTCTATTTTCACACCTGCCTGGGAAGAAGTTTCAATGAACAGAGTTTGACTTTCTTCCAAGTAAACATGGATTGGGCTGTTTCATCCATATTTCATCAGAAGTGGTAAATCTTCCACTTCTAGAATTATATTTTCCTTCATTAAAATAATCTGATTAGTTTGTGCTGTTGTTTCACATAAGGATAATGATGAGATAACATCGCTCTATTATCCTTTCTAAATAGCATCACTAAGAAAGTGCAGACTTTCATGACAAAACCTCAAATCTCAACAGCCTGCACTAAACCAATTAAATTAGTTCCAGTTACAAAGTATATTGAAGGTTTGCCCATCATGGTTGTAGCCTGAGCTCATGTACATTTGGTACATTGGTTGCCCTGATTCAGTAATCCACCAGACACCGTACAGAGGGAGCAACATGCATGCACCACGACCTACAACCATTTCACATCAACAACTTTGCATGAAATTCTGCAGCTCATTGAGAAAAAATATCTACATCCAAGATGGGTTTCTACATGTGCAGCTGCCAATTCACTCTTTTGGATCCTAACCTGGGTGATGTCTTGTGCATCTACATGCAGATTAGTGAACAGACTTCTGGTTTGGGACAAGAAAACTTCTCTGGGAAGTGCACATTAACAGTCATTACCTCAAATGTTGTTTGTAGCATTTGATGCCACTTAGAAAAGGTGTCCAGGAACTCAGTTTATGGCCCATTATTAGCCCTGCACCAACTCTGACCTGGATCTAGCTCACCTGGGTCACAAAATTACTTATGCAGGGAGGGCCCTGCCTAAACATGATTCCCATGGTGTTACGTTCATGCTTGAAGTAAATGGGTTCTGATTGAACAGGCTTGATTCTGAGTCAACTAGAAGCAAGAGTTTTCAGCATGTTTCTAGCTTACCCCAAAATAATTAGGTGAGTCCAAACCTATTGTCCTCAGTTTGTGATTATCACACACTATGGGTTGGTCAGTAAAGCCTTCACAAGTGTAACCACCTAAACCATAGTAGCATTAGGTTCTAGAGCAGTGTTCCTCAAATTTGGGTCCCCAGCTGTTGTTGGACTACAACTCCCATCATCCCTAGCTAGCAGGACTAGTGGTCAGGGATGATGGGAGTTGTAGTCCAACAACAGCTGGGGACCCAAGCTTGAGAAACACTGTTCTAGAGCAATGTTCTTCATCTTATGCCTGGAGCTAAGTTGAAGACCACCTTTTAATTATTTCTGTCACCAAGCTACTTTAAGCATAGAGAGAAGCATGTGGTATAGTCCTTCCATGGACCTGAACCACCTTACAATGTAGAAGTGCCCTCAATGAAAAGGTTCGTTGCATATGGGAAGTTGATATATCATAAAATTAGACTGTGTTAGCTTTTGAAGTCAAAGAAACTTTGGACATGAGAGCCTTTTCAAACAGTAATTTCCTCTTATGAATTATGAGGTAATACAGGCCCAGGAAGATGAGCAAAATTCATATTATTTGTGATTTCTTACTCCTGGATGTGACAGTATTCAAACTATTCCATCGCTGCTAGCATAGTAGCTCTGAAATTCTGCAACACGGTAAAAAGAAATAAAAATTATTCAGTCATCAGGCAAAATTCTTCAGTAATGTGAATCAGGCCTACAACAGCTTAATCATTCCACTTTCCATCAGAGCTGACATATCGCCTTTCTTGGTGACACTTAACAATCAAGAGGTATATTATATATTCCTGCTTATAAAGGCATGGTCACTCAGAAGGGGGCTGTATGCAGGATTATTTAGTGCCAGAACCATTCATCAATTTAAACTGATTGTCACTCTGACGGTCCATCTGATGAGACAGGAAAATCTGAACCAGAACTGTCATCTGCAAAATGCGAGATTCATCATTTAGGTGGCTGACAAAAATAAATAAAAACCGAATGGGGAGGGGCCATCCATTCATTTCTTTTGTTCCAGTTGTTTCTGCATCAAATAGGTTTTACATGTTTTTGAAACGTAAGTAAATTGAGCAAAACTTGTGAGTAGAGGCAGTGTTCAGATGAGTGTGTGTTCACATGCCATTTCTCTCCAGCCTTTGTAAGGACAGCATTTGCCATTATTATTCCATGTTGTTCTGAATACTATTTCTTCTTATACTGAGATGGACTTTTCTATTCCATTCATTCTTCAGAAGTGCATCTTTCTTAAGCAGCATCTATGACAGTTGATACAAGATGTTTAACTCTTCCCTGGAAGAAAAAAGAAATCTCTCCAGACCATCTGTTGAAATAACCAAGAGCCATTTGAGATGTGCCATTTTTCCCCCAAACACTGAGATGTCCTTTGTGTTAGGAGGCAACACATATACTACTAAATATGAGGTGATGTGAGAGTGTGTATTGCATCACAAGCACATGGATTTGAAAGTGGTATGTGCACTTGTGGCAAAATAAGCATAAATAACCCACTTTATATATGATAGCATATATATATTTTCCTCAACTGAAGTTAGTTCCAAGTTGAAAAAATATTTCATGTGAAACATCCCTTTCTGAAGAGTACGGATAGTAGTTCTGCAGTCTGATCCTAAACAAAATGAGAGTTCAGTACAAAGTTATATGCACATAAGGTCATTTATGGTCAATGGGACTTGTGTGCACCAGATTTGGCCATAATGTGAAGTTTCATTGTGTATGATTGGCGTGTAAATCAACCATTTATCTTCTGGACAGAGGGTTACTACTGGCCCAGTCTAGTTTTAGTAATAAATACAACCTCACACGTAATGCAGTACACTATCTCCAGCCATGTTCAATACAAAGAAAGTGTACAGGAATGTTAAACTGCACAAAACAGATGATCTGGCACAGGTGTGGGGGGGTGGATAGGTGTGGGGGTGTCACAGTACAGATCCCCAAGTGTAAGAAAATATAAGGTTTACCAAATAGAACAGAAACTGTGTTATAATAAGTTCATAAGGAGATGCAGCTACTAGGAACAAGGGCAACAATAAACTTCACCTGTTGAAAAGCAGATTTCCCAAACTTGGGTCTCCCATCTGTTGTTGGATTACAACTCCCATCATCCCTGACCACTGGTCCTGCTAGCTAGGGATGATGTGAATTGTAGTCCAAAAACAGCTAGAGACCCAAGTCTGGGAAACCCTGCTGTTAAGAGATTTCAAAGGCACAAAATGGCAGGTCAACGCTACTCCCGCCTATTTCGTTAGTGCCTTCTGTGCTTTGAAAAATCTCCCCACTGAGCTCCATTTTCAAAGGCCAAATGAGTCCCATACAATATGGCCATCTGAACACCCTGTTAGTCCATGGGAGGGTGGGGAACCTGTTGCCCTCCAGATGCTGTTGTATTCCAAATTCCAAACAGCATGGTCTTTGATCAGGTCAGGGAATGAAGGAAGGAGCTGTAGTCCAGAAATATCCAGAGGACCCCAAATTCCCCATTCCTGGCCATCAAACATAAAATCAAGGTCAAATGCATTTCTACTGAAAAAGGCATTCTCAGGGTGTGAGAGATGGGTGCCTCCTTCTGAAAACAAGTATCCCTGTCATAAATAGTCTACGTTTTAAATAAGCATTGTATCACATAGACTTTATTTAGTCTTGTTGAGGGGGGGGTCAGATTTCAAGTCAAGCAGAACAGATCTGTCATATCCAACTTTGCGCATGAGACAAGTCATAATAGCTCAGACGATTGTGAATTTCCAGCAAAACTGGGCCCTACCACACATTGGCACCTCTTTATGGTGAATTAAAAATGGAATGTGCTGGCTGCACTTTAGTTAATTAGACCCAAACAGTTCTCTTCTCCCATCTATTTATTCAAAGTGCAGGAATTGTATGAGAAACAAGAGGAAGATTTGCAGCTTTCCTTATACTGCATTAGCACTGGGTGGGATTAATGGGAGTTGTATTCCAAAACAGCTGGAGATCACCAGTTTGGGGAAGGCTAAACTATTTGATGATCTGTTATTAGTATTATGTTTAAATTCTCTACTTGTGTTACCTACAGCTTCATAAAGGGACACAGGTGGCCCTGTGGGTTAAACCACAGAGCCTAGGGCTTGCCGATCAGAAGGTCGGCGCTTTAAATCTCTGCAAGGGGGTGAGCTCCCGTTGCTCGGTCCCTGCTCCTGCCAACCTAGCAGTTCAAAAGCATGTCAAAGTGCAAGTAGATAAATAGGTACTGCTCCGGCGGGAAGGTAAACAGCGTTTCAGTGCGCTGCTCTGGTTTACCAGAAGCGGCTTAGTCATGCTGGCCACATGACCCGGAAGCTGTATGCCGGCTCGCTCGGCCAGTAAAGCGAGATGAGTGCTGCAACCCCAGAGTCGGTCACGACTGGACCTAATGGTCAGGGGTCCCTTTACCTTTACCTTTACAGCTTCATACACCACTTTCTAGTTGGTTTTTCTCTAGCTCAGGAGCACACAGCACAATTGTCCCTCCCTCCTATTGGTTTCATTCAGTGGGATTTCCACACAGCACATCCCTCACAGATTGCACCCTTTGGCTTTAGCACAGAGCTACCCGCATTTGAGGCCAGATCCACACTACCAACATAAATCCAGTTTAACCATTATCACTGTTCTCCAAGGTGCCCTGGGAATTTTAGTTTTTTCAGGGGACTCAAGATATCAGAGAGCTTTCACTAAAGCTTTACAAGAGTACAATTCACAGTTGTAGGATAGCCTCTATAAAACTAGTGTTCAGATTGTAGTGTGTTGGCATAAACACACTTCCTTCCATGTGATTTAGGCATAGGCAAACTTGGCCCTCCAGATGTTTTGGGACTACAACTCCCATCATCCCTAGCTAGCAGGACCGGTCAGGGATGATGGGAGTTGTAGTCCCAAAACAGCTGGAGGGCCGAGTTTGCCTATGCCTGATGTGATTGATAGATATGTATACATTGGTGTGCAGGGCTGCTGCAGCTGTTTTTAATTTCAGGTTTCCACCATACCCTTGACATAAAGAGGTACTGGGGCTTTCACAAAGAGGTAGGAAAGTCGGGCAAAATGTTTCAACTCTGAAAACTTGTCCAAAATATAATTGTTTTGCGAAGAATAAATAAACTGAGAAAAGAGAACCATCCCGGCAACGAGATTGCACGCTGGTTAGAAAAGAGAGAGCGAGGGAGAGGGAGAGGGAGATAGAGATGAAAATATTGATGTTTTAAGAAATACAATACATTCTGTCCTACGGACACTTCGCTGGGGTGGGGGAGGATATCAACAAAAACCTCCCAAACTATTAATGGGTTGCTTCAAAAAAGAAATACACTGGAAGGTCAATGGAACAGACTTAATGATTTTATGCTGTTGAGATGCAAAGATTCCATCAATGAGACTTGGATATCATATGCAAAAACAGATTTAGAAGTAGACAAGAGCAGTATTTGTTTCCAGAAGAAGCACCGGTTAATAAATTGGTTGAAAGGAATTTACATGTAAGTGAGCAATGTGGGTATAATAAACTTAGACACTTTGGTAATATAATTTCAAGGAGTTCTCCTCAATTTCTATGAGTCGTAGTAGCAGCTCATACTAGCTGATAAGCTCCAATGAGCTTGCATTTGGTGTATAAAATTGGCTTCAATTTCCCCACCCACCCCCCAAAAAACCCCACTGAACTTGTCCACCTCTACATGACATTGACTTGGTTGTTGTTTCCTTACTTTAAAACAATTGCCAAATAAAAATAAAATTATAGTTATAATAATTAATACAGGCATTTGAGCTTAGTTCCCAGAAATATGGCACATGAACTGGATTCATAATCATGGCGGTTCTCTTTTATATATGCAATTCATATTTCTTTCCCAATCTGTAGAAGGCCCAGACTTTATCATTTTGGCAACAAATGGCAATTCCCAGGTCTGAACACAAAGGACCAGGTTACAGTTCCTGCAGAGTTGGTTTTTAACAGAAAAAGAATGCGCGGCTATTTCCCCGCCCCCACCCCTTTTAATCTATAATATTTACAGTATTGCACTTTACTGCACTTAATTGCATTTCACTAAAATTAACGCTGCATCAGTATTATGCTTTTTTAAAAAAACTGTGTCCATCTTTGACAGATGAATCAACCCCTCTAGATCCTGTAAACCAAGCAGGCCTTCCGCAGAGATCCAGACATCTGGAAATAAAAACGGTGAAGTAAACCTGTTCACATAGTACAAGCATTTCAGCATGTTCAGGTGGTTCTCAGTAAAACAGATGTGTTCATCATTGTTCCCGTCATTTGGATCACCAACTAATTTGGGTGTCTCTCTTTCTCACACGCACACTCAGTTGTTGTTGTTCTTGTTGTTCCTTGTGAAGGATGTAGTCATTTGGACACCCCATTGTGTTATTGCTGCTTTGTTTAGAAAACACTGCCTTGTCTCAGATCTGAAATTCCACGTTTAAATTCAAACCAGTTCTGCAGCAGCAGCAGCTCCATAGCGATGGAAGAGATTCATGAGATTGAAATAATACCATTGGCAACAAAGAAGAAATGTCATCTTAATGGAGACCAGCCCCACGATGTTGTTAAGCTTTTTCCTTTTTTTCTGTTTCATTTTTGTTTCAGTATACTTGGCGATTTTCAAACGTTGTTTAAAGTTAGGCACATGCACGACGTAGCAAAACTGGCAGCAGCAAATGGTGTTGGGCTGACATGATCATCTTCAGTTTGGCCAAGGTCCACTTCCATTTGTCCCAAGATTCATGGATGCCACGTGATTGGAGGGTTCTGTTGCCTGCCCCCCAAAAAATCTACTTTCCTCCAAAGTTTTCTCAATTTTTTTTTCCAAAACTGACACTTATAACTGAGGTCCAGACTGATTTCAAACCTAGTATTTATGCATCTGGTGGCTGAAGAACAGTTTAACTGCAATCATTAGCACTAAGTGCTTTTTGAAATAAAAATTTAAAACAGAAAATAGGCCAGTAGGTCCTTCAGTCCTCAGATCAACTGAACAAGTTGCTGAAGTCTTTGAACAAAATAAAAGGAGAGGATGAGAAAGGGAGGAAAGAAGGAACAGGCCAGCGCTGAGCCTGTCTACAAGTACTTGTAGGCCTTTAAAAAGGTACCAGTTGTCCTTATCGCAGCCAAGCTCGGAGACTGGATAGAGGAAAGATACTATTGTCCATCCCTGGCAACAAAATGGCTTCTGGGGAGGAAATGTCAGAGCCCCAGGGCCTCGGCGTGTTTCCGAGCCTTGAGCCTCAAGTCAGCGATGCTGGAATTCTTGCTGTTGCTCTTCGCGGCCGCTGCTACTACTGCGGCCGCAGAGGCGGAATCTGCCAAGGAGGCAATGGGAAGTCCAAAAGGGGGCGGGGGGAACATCAGATAAGGGGCGTGTGCAGCCAGGTGAGGGTGGAGGTGAGGGTGGGCATGGGTGACGCCTTCCAGCTGCAGCTGAGCTTGGACCTGAGGGAGCAAAAGAAGGACACAGAAGCAAAAGGGACAATGAATAAAGGAGCTTCCAGGAGGGTAAACAAATGAGTGTCATTCTGTGTATCTGGAAATAGGCCGGGTTTTCAAGGGGACATACACCAGGATAGGTCTGCAGCCTGTAGGAATAGAATGGCTTTTTGTAACAGGCAGATGTGGGCTCCTGGTAAACTAGGCTCGGTGGTTAAAAGGTCTGTAAGCTACCTAATACCACAATATAGTCAACAGGATATCACAATGTTGTTTTTGCTTCTAACCATTGTCATCTGCAGCAGCAGAAAGATGCTCTCACTCTGTTGTCAGCATATCATATCAGAAACCACTTAAGGTCCAGACCCAAATAACCATGAGCACTTTCTTCTTATGTCTCAGCGTATTAATCTACTGTTGCACATTGCCACTCTTTGTACATGGTGATCAATCCTTTACCGGTGTTCCTTAACTTGTTGAATTGCCACATTCCACTCATTATTTTACTGCCATTGACTTAGAACTGCAGAGTTCCCCTTTTCTGGATCTTCCAGACACAAACTCTTTCCTTTTCTGTACATAGCGATACCTATTCAAGCTTCCTCTTGGCTGGGAGAGAACGGCTTAATGGCAGTGTAAAAAGGTAAAGGGACCCCTGACCATTAGGTCCAGTCATGGCCAACTCTGGGGTTGCAGTGCTCATCTCGCTTTATTGGCCGATGGAGCCGGCATACAGCTTCTGGGTCATGTGGCCAGCATGACTAAGCCGCTTCTGGCGAACCAGAGCAGCGCACGGAAACGCCATTTACCTTTCCACCGGAGCAGTACCTATTTATCTACTTGCACTTTGACGTGCTTTCGAATTGCTAGGTTGGCAGGAGCAGGGACCGAGCAGCGGGAGCTCACCCCGTCGCGGGGATTCGAACCGCCGACCTTCTGATCAGCAAGTCCTAGGCTCTGTGGTTTAACCCACAGCTTAGTGCACCCTGAATACTGCATATCAGGCTCTGGGCACTTTGCAGCAACCCCACAGTGTTGTCCAGCGGTATTAGACCCCTATTGCACATTGGAGATCAGCAGAAACTGAGTTTGCAGAACCCTGCACTGCTTTTTTATATCTATCCCCACACTGCAGGTAGAACTGAGAGAGCAGGATAAAGCAAACCTGCAATTTAGTTCACTTCTTTTTTCCCAGTTGCAGATTGGAGAGCTGTAACTTACAGCAGCCATGCAATGTAGTACGCTGTTATATATCAGGCCAGTTGTAGAACTATATGAATGGCCTTCTCAAACCTTCTCCCAGGCCACACCAAGCACTCGTTTGCAAGAAAAGCCTTGTGTTCAATTGGCTTGCATGCAGACTGGATTTTTTTTTAAATAAAAAGTGGGCATGAAGTAAGACCTGTGTTATAGCAGGGGCATAGCTGTCAACTTTTCTCTTTTTTTGAGGGAAATTCCCTTATTCCGAATAGGATTCCTCGAAAGAAAAGGGAAAAGTTGGCAGCTATGAGCAGGGGCCACCTATCTTTTCTGCTAGCTCAAATTTTTCAACCACCTTAGCCACAGACTCTGGTAAAACCTGCACATTTTGTTTCAGATCCTCACTTGTAGCATGGTATTATAATATAAGGTTCTACCCCATGATGTTTTTTATCAAGCAAAATTAATGCTTCCTGGGAGGTCACACAGACATTTTTTCCTTCTTCGAGGAACTGAAAAAGGAGAACCATACCCACAAGGGTGTGCAGGAAGGAGAGAAAGTGCAGCCACACACATCTGCAGTTACTGCTAAAGTCCTTGTGGCACACGTCCAGCAAATGAAGGACTTTTGAACAGTAATAACAATAATAACGTTAAAAAGGCGACGGTGTAATTAAATAGCTGCAAAAGTGAGTTTGAACTGGTCCTAAACACCACTGGACTTTCAACAGGAACACGTGCTGCCAGATCTGATGCAGAGTTATAGCCCCAAGGTGCCAGGTAACTTCTCTGGTCTTTGTTTATAAGTCCCCTTGTAAGATTTGTTTTAAGATGGCTATAAATAATTTTTCCTGAGTATAGCTTTTTAGCTTTGAAGCTGTTGGATTTTTTAAAAAAAGTATAGGGTGGGGTGGAATGGGGAAATTTGGCTCTGTTGCTAGCCTGATCCAATTCTATTATCATTATCATTATTTACATTTATATACTACCTTTATCATCCAAGGATCTCAAGGTAGTGTTCTCCTCCTCCCCATTTCATCCTCCCAACAACCCTGTGAGGTATGGAGAGGCTAAAAGGTGGGGAGTCACCCAGGGAGCTACGTAGCTGAGTGGAGATTCGAACGCTGATCCCCCACGTCCTACTCCAACACTCTAACCATTACACCACATGTAAGGCATGCCTGCCAACCTAGCAGTTCGAAAGCACCCCCGGGTGCAAGTAGATAAATAGGGACCGCTTACTAGCGGGAAGGTAAACGGCGTTTCCGTGTGCTGCACTGGCTCGCCAGATGCAGCTTGTCACGCTGGTCACGTGACCCGGTAGTGTCTCCGGACAGTGCTGGCCCCCGGCCTCTAGAGTGAGATGGGCGCACAACCCTAGAGTCTGTCAAGACTGGCCCGTACGGGCAGGGGTACCTTTACCTTTACCTTTAAGGCATGCCAGGTATACAGGATGAGTCTGTGAACAGAATCACATCCCCTTCATCTCTTTATTATTTGACCAATTTCTAAGAATACTTAACAACGGTTCAGGGACACTTATGGCTATTTTAAAGCATATTTATTTGTTGCCGTCTGAAACACTTATAAGGGACTAGGGACTAGACACTTATCAGGGCCTGAGAGGGTTTAGGTGAATAGGAGAAGATTTGTTGTATGTGTGTATGATTAAATTCAATCTCTTTGACAATCGGTATGAGTGGATGTGGCTATTCAAACATTTGAATAAAACTGGGCAAGAAGAGTCAAGTGCTTGTCAATAGTCTCCACACCTTCCCACTTCCACTGCCCGGAAGTGTGGAGGCGTTTACTGCCTGGACAGAATACTGCCTGTACATCTCTGTATGTAAAAGGGTGAGATACATTTAAGAGAAGGAAGAGAAAAGTCAAGAGAAGGGCCTCAGATCTTCCTGAGCTGGCTACTCATCTGCAAGCCTCCTGCCATGTGGCCTTGCCTGCAGGCTTGCTTATTTTCTCCTCTTCCTCCCTTGTCCTTGGGTGGGAGAAAGCCATCAAAAACTATGGCCATCTTATTCATGCCACAGCTCCCCTTAACACGTCTAACTCTGAAAATAAATGGAGCTGTTCAGTTTCACCCTCAAGCTAATGAAGGTGAAATTGACAAAGTAGCAAAGCTTTCACATATTCAGGCAGCCATTGGGAGGCAAAGAAAGGTAAAGAATCATCTCCCCAATATTTTCTTCCTGCTGCCTGTGTTTTTTAAGGAAACAAAGTGGAACAAGTTCTATTTCTCTGTGTCTCAGTGGCTAGGGTGCTTTTGCAGGGAATCGACCAGTTTCCTTGACACATTTCCAGCCTGAGAAGTACCCAAGCCCCACTGACACACGTGGGGGGTCTGAAACAAGGACCTGCCTGCCTGCCTACCCCTCACATCCTGCCTCGCTAAGTAAGTGTTTTTGGGTTGTTACATTTTTCCCTTATCATTTGCATTGGAGACATTCAGTAGACTGGTCTGAATGGCAGCATTTCTGGGTGGCTTTCAAAAAGATAAAGTCCACACGAGTAGCTCTGAGGCAATGCGAGGTTACAACCTCTTAAAGAGGAATTTTCACACGTGACCACCACAATCCCACAGCCCGAGTTCTCTTTGTTAAGAGGACCGCCAAATTTCCACCCAGCTCTTCTAGGTGTGCCTTTTTAGAAGCAGCTTGATCTACAGCAAATTAGGAGATGAAGCGCTTCACAACATGGAGAGAAACAGTCACCACCACTGCTGCTTTGCTGCGGAACAAGCCCCTGTTAAACGGCACAAGCATTCAGGAGTGAGAAGCTGACAACTCTTGGTGTCCTCCTTAAATCTGTTAACAACGCAGGATCTAATTCAAAACAGAAACCAAATGTGTCTTGATTTCTTCTCCTTGGACCACCCTGATTTAAGCCTCGCGCGTGAAATCACCAAGGGCGATGTTGCTCTAGTTCTGCAAGAGATAAACGCTGCCGCAGAAGAAATCAACTACCTAGGCCCCACTTTTCTGAAACCCTGTTTGAAATAAAAAGGACCTTTCCAGAAGCCCAAGGATCACAGGGGTGCTTAATTATATAGGAGGATGTAAATAGAAGGGAGCTGAGGCATCTCTGCTGCTTACTGACTTTTCCCTATGGCTTGTGTGTGAGACTACTTTCAGTTCCCAGTTATGAAAACTAATGGGGCAAAAAGAGTGAGCAAAGCATGGTTTTTGCATTCCATACAGTGCTAGTGCAACATAGTGACAGGAGGGTTAAAGACCTGCATTCAAATCCCCTTGCAAGTAGCAGGTTTACAGTAAATTTAAGGGCAGAGAATGCATCATTCAGTACTCATTACTTAAATCAATCTAATAAGGTTGTTGTTGTTGTTGTTGTTTAGTCGTTTAGTCGTGTCCGACTCTTCGTGACCCCATGGACCAGAGCACCAGACCAGTGCCCTCCATCTTTCCCAACATCAGGGTCTTTTCCAGGGAGTCTTCTCTTCTCATGAGGTGGCCAAAGTATTGGAGCCTCAACTTCACGATCTGTCCTTCCAGTGAGCACTCAGGTCTGATTTCCTTAAGAATGGATGCGTTTGATCTTCTTGCAGTCCATGGGACTCTCAAGAGTCTCCTCCAGCACCATAATTCAAATAATCAATCTAATAAGGTAGGTCTCTATTATTGCCCATATCAGAAGATGGCTGAGCCTGAGAAACAGACTTCTTCATGGCCATGCAAGTTTGGGTGGTGGTTTCATTGTGTGAGTCCTGAAACATGCTTGCGCTACAGTATTTTCTCTGCTGCTTTGATAAAGATTAGCTTTGAACAAAGAGCAGTTTCTCAGCCTAACCTACTTCACAGGAATGTTGAATCCACACCGTGCATTTGTAGCACATGGCTTTCCCCAGTCTCAGTGAAAAGTAGCTTGCTATGGGTGCTGGGAACTGTAACTCTGTGAGGAATGAGAAACAGTTCCCAGGATTCGGGGGGTGCGGAGGGGGAATAAGTGTGTTGAATGTGTTTTAAATGTATGGTGTGGATCCACCTGTCCCTTAAGCAAAATACAGATCAAGCTATGATCCTGTATACACTTACCAAGAACCATGTCCCCATTAAAAGCAACATGATTTACTTCTCAGTGAACATTTCTAGGACTGCAATGCAGGTGTGCTTTAGGACGACTACTTAGGAGAGAGGAACAAAAATAATGGAATTCTACATTTAGGTATTTGGGGGAGTTAAGATACAATTACCTGGATTTATTTTCTTCCCCTCTGCATTCAATATATTTCCCGCCACAGGTAAGAACTCTTGTGCCTTTAAAGACTACTTGAAAGGCAGAAATTTAAGTGGTTCAGTACAGAGATTAACGTGTTTGGTTTCTACTAACAGTAGCTGAGGCAAATCAACTACGGTGGTACCTCTGGTTATGTATTTAATTCGTTCCGTAGGTCCGTTCTTAACCTGAAACTGTTCTTAACCTGAAGACCACTTTAGCTTATGGGGCCTCCTGCTGCCGCCGCGCCGACAGAGAATGATTTCTGTTCTCATCCTGAAGCAAAGTTCTTAACCCGAGGTACTATTTCTGGGTTAGCGGAGTCTGTAACCTGAAGCGTCTGTAACCCAAGGTACCACTGTACTCATCTTTCCAAGAGGATGAGTAGAAGTAGCCGGAAATTTTGTTTTTCCAAACGATGCAACACTCAGCATTACTATCCTACACAGTGTTCACTCAGAAATAAGTCCTACTGGTTTCAATGGCGATTAACCCACATTGAGCGTGAACAGGGTTGCAGCCAGACTTGGAAGCCACAGTGAGTAAGTCCTCGTTCGAAACCTGGGGACGATAAGGGCGCCTCTGAGGGCGCGCAGAGTGCACTCCTTCGCCACTGACCCATCCCAGCCTTGAAAAACGCCCGAAAGCCAGGGGCGTGGCTTCCTGACGGATCTCCGCTCCGGCCACGCCTCCTGCCCAGCGAGAGGCGTATAAGCACCTCCCCCTTCCGTCTGACAGCCCGCTCGGAAGAGGCGTGTCCTTTTCTACAGCGCCCCTCCCCTCCAGAACCTCGATTCGCCTCGGACGCACAGGGAGAGAAAGGGGTCAAAAGGAATCAAAACGAGCTACCTGCTGGAAAGGCATCCTCAGGGCGCCCATGTTGACGTAAGGGGCCACTCGGCAGGCGTCTAAGTGGCTGGCCGTCCCCAAGATCACACCTGCAAAGCGGGGGTGGGGAGAGACACGTGTCTTGGTGAGGAAGGAACCTCGGGGGTCCGGATAGCGCTCACCAACCCCCTCCCCTCCTCCAGCCCACCCAAGCACTTTCCAGCTCGAACTCACCTTTATGCATCTGGTTCTCCTGTTTCCGGCATTTGGCTCTTCGGTTCTGGAACCAAACCTGCAATCAAAGAAAATGAGGGGAGGAGAGGTTTGTCACCATCCGTTCTGAAGCGTCTGGCAGCCACCCGTGCTTATAAAAACGAACTTTTTTGACCAAAACAGACATTTCCCCCCCCCTTACCCACACACGCCCTTGCAGTCTGATGAAGAATCCTGTTGGGCTTGGAAGCTTGCTCCCTGTTTTGTGTCATTTTGATTGCTCGTACAATAAAGGGGTTTTATTTTGGTCGATACGTTTTATTGATTTTCACGGAACCAGCAATATACAAACAGGTAAGTTCCTACCCACCCACAGAAGGACAAGCTTTGGGGGATATTCAGAACACACGAAAGTATGGAGTCCGAATGGCAGAGGACAGAAGCTTTCTCAGCCTGTGTTCCACAGTCTCAGAGAGGCAAAGGAAAGATGAAGACCTTATACTTCGCTTCCCCCCCCCTTCTCCTTCTTCCAAAATCAAAGTGTCAGTTTTGCTATGCACGCTACTGTAACTTCTCTCTTTGCTCTGCTCATCTGGTGGCTTTCTCTCTGAGAAATGCTTGTTTATTAGGCATACAGGTAACAGCATACATCACGCAAAACAGCAGGACTAGTCAAAGGCCCTTTTAAGACAAGGGTCGTGGTATTGGTAAGCAGGTTTCGAGAGATTCACAGTGTGATCCTTATACTGTACGTGTCAGAAGTAAATCCCGTTGGGTTCAATGGCGCTTCCTGTCGGGTAAGCGTGTATAGGATTGCAGCCTGAGGTGTTTCGAAATAAGAAAATAGTGCTATACACCACTAAAAATGGTATAAATGCAGCATTTTCTTTCCCGCTGTTGGAATGAGAAGCAATCCTTACGTCCACAATGGTAGGGGTCATTTCTGCACCAGAATGGGGGACTGTGTAAACCTATTAGAGGTTTTTGTTGATTGTGCACACGCACACCCATATACACACATAGTTCAGTTTCTTAAAAAAATAATACAAATGACCTGAGAACAGTGACTTTCTGTATTATTCTTATTGCTATTAAAAAGCATAAAGGAGCGACCAGATCAGAAAATGTGGGCTGCAAGTGATGAGACGAGTTTCACTTGCAACAATTATAGGTGCAATTAGAGCAGGTGAGATCCGAGTGCGAACAGAGAATCGGACAAGAATCGAAATGGGATTCATTCGCACTTCTGCTAAAAAAAAAAACCACCAACGGACCAATGCGCAGCTTGGAGAAAGTCTGTTGTAAAATGCAGAGTTTGCATCTTGATCGTCCCAAGCATGGCTGGTGTCAAAGTCAAGCAAACAAGCGCTTTTAAGAAGAGCAGTCAAGCCACGAGCGACCTCCCTCCTAAGGTTGCGAATCCAAATTCGCAAAGCACCGCGAAGTTGATGCGGGGGTGTAGCCGCTCCCTCCCCGCGCATGCGTACTCTCTCTTTTTCCTTTTTTTTTTTTAAAAAGTCCTGGTCAAAAGGAGACTTTGCTTCCTCCATCTCAAGGGATTCAGAGGAAGGGGCTGCCAGTGTGGCGCAGCGGAGCCCCAAGGGCAGCAACCCTTCGAACGTATAAGAGGCAATACATGGATTGGCCTGTGGGGGCGCTAGACACAGCCATGAAACATCCCCAAAGTTCCGCTCCCACGACCACTAGACTGTATGGAGAACCGGTCAAGCAAATGAGCCCTCACCTACAGGCTAAAGTGCGACAGCCCGGGTCCGGTTGTTGTCCGTGAAGACGGTCCGGCTGAAGGAGCTACAGGCTAAAGTGCGACAGCAAATTGAGCGCCTCGGCGCGACAACGAAGCTTGCACAACTGCTCAGTTTATAGTACTTCGGATATCAGTCAGGAGGAGGGACAATTTGGATTTCCCCCCCCCCCAAGTAGGGGAGGAATTTTGCAAGGATATATTCAAGGCTTAGACCGCAAACAGGCCAATGTATTTTAAGAGCTATGCGTGTAGCTCAGTATCCCATAAATATAACGTGAATGGTACAGGTCCGCGCGCGCACTTCTTTAAACCAAAGAATATGTTCCGATCTAAAGGTTTAGATTTAGACCAGCAGTCACTCTTGAGGGACCCTGCCAGAAATAGAGAGGACTCCCGAAGAACAAACAAATACGGTCTGAAATGGGAGGGGGCACTATTCTCTTCCCTAAAAGTGTGTGCTTGTAATGCTTTTATATTGTCAGCCGCCTTGTGCTCCCTTTCACCGGGAAAGGCGGAATATTAAAAGGGGGAAAATCATTACGTAGAACAAGCAGATGAACAAAATGCCTCCGAGGCTATCCAAAGAAAGAAACTGTTCAGTCCAGCAACAAAGACGGCCCGCTTGCCTAGCTTTAAACCGGGGGAGGGAAGCAAAAAAGAGCCTCTTCTTGGCATCTCCTATTCGAAATCAGGAAAACAGGCAGATGGCGTTCAGGAGCAGAGAGCCAAGCCGCAATCCAATGCCCACACCGACCTTGGAGCATGCCCCATGGAAGTCAATGGGGTTTACTGCTGAGAGAACAAGTATAGGTTTCGGCTGGCAGGCAGCTAAGGGAGATTTCCCCGTGGGGAAGAGGTTACGGCTCACACACTAAACAATGAGACAGAAATGTGACAGATCGGGGGGGGGGGAATAAAATAAAAAAAAAGAAATGTGACAGATCGCCACACACCCACACCCAAAAAGTGCCGAGTACCAAATGCCGATTTACAATTCACATCCATCTCTCATACATCCACACACACACACCCTTTGCTCTCTCACGTCCAGCATTCCTCCAATTTGGCTGAATGTGGCTTCCTTTCCCCCTGTGTGCCAGGCAGTGGCGTTTCCTCGAGGTTAATTCTGAACGCATATACATAAAGAAGGACCAGTTTTAGTAGGTTTCCCCCTATGTCGACTCGTGTGGCATCGCTTTTTTCACCCTATTTAAGGAAAAATAGGCGAGGCGGGCGGGGTGAGTTTCAGCTAAAACCCTTTTATTCCCGAGTTTCTGCCAGAGTTTATCAGGGCTTTGTCTTATGCTGACCTTGGAATTGCCCACTAAAATGGCCAGCCATGGATCCACACCCAAACACTGATTACTCGGAAGAAAGTCCCACCACGGTTCAGTGGAGGGACTCTTCATTTACTTGGGATTTACTCCCGAGCAACCATGCAAACAGAAGAAGCTGCCAGCGATTAAGGTTGCGATCCTTAATCAGTGAAGTACTTCACTGAAAGGAATTCTAGAAAAGTAGCGAAACCAATAAAGTTTCCTTGAAGATTAAAAAGTATATTGTGGCATGAGCCTGTTTCTTTACAGGAAAGGCACAGCATTTCGTTGAATTCCGCCGGGCTTACTTTCGAGTAAACGATGCTCAAGATCGCCCTGCACAGCCACGACCCCCAAACCCTCCCTTGAAAGTCAATTCAACTTCGAATGCAAATTCCGTTTATGGGGAAATCAATTAATTCCACACACATCATCCAGAAGGATTATTCAAAGGGGGTTAATCCAACAGATTTCATTTACCCCTTTCCATTTGTCTTTTGACTGGGTTATGGATCCCACCATAAATCCCTTTTTCAGAGCCACGATTGACTTTTAAATAGGCTTGACTTCCACGCGACAATCAAACGCTTTCCAAATTTGGGTGGAAGGAATTATTTCTAATTCTGCCATCAGATTCTATTCTTTTTCTTTAAAAAAAAATTGCTATCCTAGTAATCCTCCCCTAATTCCGGAAATTCCCGTGTATTATAAATTGAGGCAGGAAGGGGGGGTGTCCTTAGATCTCTCTGGCGTACCAAACAGCATGGGAGCCTTCTCCCATGAGAGGGGAAGGAGATGATTTTTTACAAATATGTTTAAAGGATTACGTCTACCGTCAAATGCTCAGCGTCTCCACCCCCCTCCTCTTACTAAATCAAACTTTAGTCAGCCTCTGTCTGCTGAGACAGATCAAATCTGGGAGTTAAGCAAACATCGCTCCCATTCGCCCCGCCCCCCTCCAAGTTCCTCCGCTTGCCAAGTTGATCATACGGTTAATTAATACTAACTGCACTTCCTACATCACATTTCGCCTCCGAGCTTTCTTCAATTGCCTTAATGATGGCCATTTACAACGGAGTAATTAGTGCAAAGAAAGGCTTCCAAAGACATTAATTATCCAGGGGTACTGGAATGGGTTTCTTCAACAGGAATTGGCCGCCTTCACACGTGCGCTAGTGGCGTCGCCTCCCCCTCCCTGATCCGGGTCTCTAATAGGTGGTGTCTCAAATTAAAAGATGGGGGAACGGGAGGGGGGCAGCTTGCTCAATTTCTGAGCGATCCCTGAACTTTTTGAAAGGGAGCTTTCTTTACCTGTGGAAATGTCCCCTTTCCATTTTAATGTCCTGATCTCTGGCTCCCTTGGATTTGCTGGTTCTGTGGAGAGCGCAACACGCAGCACAGCCTTTTGGAATAGATAGACGGCCGTGCGACCCTCAACACGCCCAGTCTCGTGGGATCTCCGAAGCTAAGCAGGGTCAGGCCTGGTTAGTGCTTGTATGGGAGACCACTGCCTAGGAATACCAGGTGCCGTGGGCATTCTTAGCTCAGTCGTGAGACTCTTAATCTCAGGGTGCTGCATTCGAGTCCCACGTTGGGCACACGATTCCTGCATTGCAGGGAGTTGGACTAGATGGCCCTTGCGATCCCTTCCAATTTTACAATTCTAAGACTCTTTCGAACACCTCTGGAAACTTAGCCACTTCAAGCGGACTAACGTTTGGAGTATCAACCCCCGCCATCTCTCCGCCTCCCTTGGGAGAAAGGACCATTGCTTTCAGCGAAACACCGGTGTGCTGAGAAATGGCAGCTTTAGTCAAATTCAGCCGAAATATTTGGGTTCTAGCTAGGTTTTGTTCCGACCGTTAGCACTGTGAACGCCCCACTTGAAACGAAAATATTAGTTTCTTAATATAACCACCTACCATTCATATAAACCTTGAGAATGGGGATCTTTTTATGGTGTATAATAATAATAATAATAATAATAATAATAATAATAATAATAATAAAGAATTCACCCTAAATCAGAGTTTTAAATAATCCTGCTTAATTAAGCCGGGGAAGGAAATGTGCATTTAAAAGTTGTAAACAGAAAACCTTCAGCTATCCTGTCTGAGGACAGAGGGTGGCTGAACTGTATTGACAGATAACTAACCAATGAATAAAAATGAATATGCCCCTCATGTTATTTATTCTTCATTCTATATCCCCTTCTCTCTCTCTCTCTCTCTCTCTCTCTCTCTCTCTCTCTCTCTCTCTCTGGTCTCTTCTCTCTGTGTGTGTGTGTGTGTGTGTAGCTCTTTATCCAGCATTAATGATTTTGGAATGACTCCCATGACCTGCCTCTGTGCTAATTCCGCTCTCTACGCCACTCGTCATAATATAATTTATACCAATTCCGGGGAGAGTTCGTTCCCCACCCTCAAGGGTCGTTTGCTCGTCTGTTATCCTGTTAAAGGAGGCAGACTTTATTTATTTTTATTTTTTAATCACACACCGGGTGCAGATATGTGGCAAATTCTGGGGCAAAATGTCCTTTTGCCCAGCTTTAACCACTCGGTCAGGAGCAGCGTGCGAGAGGCGTGTGATGTGAGGGACTAATCCGCGTTAAACGCTGCCGGGCTCGTACCAGTGGCGCCTCAAACGCACTTCTTAAAAAGACTCGCTGTGCCCAGCTGGGCAAAGAAAAGCGTCCCTTCCCATTTTTTATTTTTTATTTTTTTGCTTTGGAAAAAGGCGAAAGTGATGAGGAATAAAAGTGATGAATTAGCCCGCGCGCGCAGCCATCATAAATCAGCTCGGGTGTGATTCCCGATCAATTCCAAGTAGTCATGAATATGCTAAGTAAAGCGCAGGACAGTGTTTTAGACAGTTATTTCTTCATTAAGGATCACTCAGTGATTTCTTTCACAAATGCTCTAATCTGATTTCCTTTTGATTTCCATTAGAGACAGTGAATAATGACATTTAATTTAGCCTTGCGCCATAAAAACCCGAAGATATTTGCTCGTAATTGAATTACTGCCTGCTCCTCACTATGGTCTCATAACTTTCAATTATAACCCTGACAGCTGGGCGATATGAGTTGCCGGTACAACACTAAAAATAAAAGGTTAATAAGAAGTAGCTACCGTAGGAGCTCCAATTTATTTACAGCACATTTCCACACTAAATTGAAACTAGATCCTTTAACAACAAGGGACAGGCGCTACAGACGGGGATTAGGAGGCAATTCGGAGAGTATTAAAATATCTTTGGGTTGTTGTTGCTTTCGCCCTTCGGTCTCCTTCCTTTTCTCTTCCTCCTTTAATAAGATGCCGACCGAGTCCTTTTTAGCCGATCGAATCCTGATTATGTTTTAATTAAGGGTTCTCTCTAAAACGGCTTTCTCTGGACTTTATTTTTTGGGGGTGGGGAGAGTCTCAATGATGTTTCCCCCCTTCAGAAATATGAGAGAGAGAGAGAGAGAGAGAGAGAGAGAGAGAGAGAGAGAGAGAGAGAGAGGGTTGCTGGGGAGGGGGAGGTGAGAGGGTGGAATATTTCATGAAACCTGCAAGCACTTGGAACGCCAATTTTCCTGTAACTATGAATATCCTGTTAAGGTGCCGCGCTACTCCGGTAATAAACTACTTGAAAGAAAGAGTGCGGAATTCAATTACAAGTAATTTATTTTTATAGAAACACTACGAGTAATTTATTTTTATAGAAACGCTACATCAAGGCTCTGGCAAGATATTATACCGGCTCGCCTAGAAGGAGCTGGGAAGATGACATAAAAGTTGATGTCCCCTTCAGCCAAAGTTTAATCTTTTCATTCATTTATCTTGGGCGGTTAGATCAATCTTCGGCGCGGGGGGTGGGAGCCACGACTTCTCTCTCCCTCCCCCTCTCTCAGTATTCCCCCTCGTAAGCTCTCCTTTCCAAGAAGAGCACTCCAGTAAGCGTTATTCCGTTCCTGGGGAATATTTCATTTATTGTTGTATTTATTTAAAACCCGAACTGTTCAGGAGCCTAGTTTTCCCAGCTGTTTCAGGGGGGAAACAGCCTACAAAGAAACGTTTTAAAAGTTAAATGGCAGACCTGCCCTGGAAAGAGGAATTACACGCAGGCGTTCCAGGCGCACAAAAATGCTGCTCAACGCTGGACGTGGAAGTCCACCCCACTAATATTAGTGGGGCGTTCATACTAAAAGTAGGGGTGGCTAACTCTTCTGTTAGAGTCGTGGGGCTCTAACCCCCCCAAAGTCCCAGCCAGCCTGGGAAGTGGTCAGGGATTATGAGAAATTTGGTGCAGCAACATCTGGCGGGGGCAACATCTGGCGAGCCACCCCTGACTTAAAGCATTTAGACTGAGATTCCCCTTTGCTAGTGTGACTCCCACCATCACCTCCAAGGAAAAACACTGGGAGAACTGGAAGCGTGGTTCATTAAAATAGTTTTTTGGTGCTGTGGGAGTTCAGCCAGAATAAAAGCTCAGCTGGAGCTCAGCCTTCCCCACATGCCTTTGACCCTAAAGCCATGCTACAGGTTGATCACTTCCATGGAATCATAGAATTGTAGAGTTGGAAGGGACCTCAAGGATCATCTAGTCCAACCCTTCTTCCCTCCTTTTTGCACAACCTCTGTTTGAGGGGGATCGATCGCCACAACCTGCACCACCCTTTTTTAATTATATCTATTTTCTTGTTTGCTTCTTTTCCAGCCCCCCCCCCCGTCTCTCTCTAGTGAGCAAGGCTAAAGGCCTTTTAAAAAATAAAAAATAAATGCATTTTTAAAGGCAACAATCTGTTCTTGTATCGAGCATATGCCTTGGCCGCATCACCAGCAGGCAGGCCCCACAACCCAAACACCTCCTCGAGGATTGGGAGACGTTCTGTTTTCCAGGGGATCGACAAACGGAGCAGATGGGGCACCATGAATTCATACCCTTGTTATGCAAGTCAAATAGAGGCACGTTTCCCCCACCACCACCACCACCCCACTCCCGGCTCTGGATAATCCAGTCCCAGAGCACCCAACCAGCCTAGCTTGATCTACACCAATTGTTCTCCGAAGTTGCTCCCACCCTCTCCCTGTTAAAAAAATAAATAAAAATAAAAGAGGAGCAGTAGAACCTCAAGGGAAAAGGGAAAGCTTTTTCGTTCCTGGCTGGGGCTACTAATCAGGCCTCTGATTGGTTAGCGAGACCCGTTAGCGAGCGGCACTCGGGGATGTTTCGAACGCTCCGTGTCTGCTGAAGATTCTAAAGGGGCGAGAAATCGAGAGCAGCGCCAGTGGCTGGAATTCCCCCCCCATGGCTGCTGGCCCCCTCCCTCCGTCACACGTGTCCGGGTGCTGCGCGTGACAAAAAGGAGGGGATTTTAATGGGGTAGACAGAGATCCGAAACAAGGCCAGCAGGAGGAGGAGGACTCTGGCCTTCTTCTAAGGCTGCCTTACCTGAACCCTGGCTTCCGACAGCCCCAGCCTCTGGCTCAGCTCCTCCCTCATGAAGGCGTCGGGATAGTGCGTCTCGTCGAAGAGCCTCTCCAGCTCGTTCAGCTGCTCCAGTGTGAAATTGGTTCGACTCCTCCTCTGCTTCAGCTTGGTCTGGCCGTCCTCGTCTTCGGATTTCACCTCTTCCCGCTTGTCTTTGCACTCATAGATCCCTGCCGGGGGGGGGATGGGGGTAGGGAAGAGGAAACGAATACAACAAAGTTGCGCATCATAGAAGCCTCCTTAATTTCCTCCTTGAAGCCCTCGAGGCGGGAGAATTGGGCACATAGTTGCCCCAGCCAAGGCGAAGGACGGTCGCCCTGTGAGCCCCCAAAAGAAAGGCAAGCGAAAGTTGGCATCGTCCCCTATGCTCAGATGACACATTTGGGGGGGGTTGAGTGAAATATTCGTTAGTAAATTTTCGGAGCGCACGGAGAGCTTCCTCTGATAAAAACGTAATTGACTGCTACGCAGCCAGGGTATATTTTTTCTCTGTGTCTCCTTGCACTTCTCCTATTGCAGCGAGAAAATTCTTTATTTATTTGGGCGCAGAACAGGTGATGGTCCTTAGAGAAACCTTGTGTGACTCACATATTCTCCAGCTAAGGTTGCTAACTGCCCCTTGTAAGGGACATCTCCCGTCTCTCCACGCGTACAAACTTAATCATCTTAATTTTGAAGACTGCAGGATCATACCTCGGTGGCAATATGTTGTCGCGGCTAGGAAGTGTGGCCTAGGTTTCCTGAACTGACAAGCCTCCTGAGGAAAGTTAAAGATCCAAATACCCCACGCAAGCCAAGAGTAGCAAAGATTTTACGCGAAACAAGTGTAAAGAGGAAATGGCCACTTTCAGATGACAGAGGCTCTGAGACGTGTCCACTATTCCTGGCCAGTCGCCTCCACCGGGAGGGGATCGGGGCCTCATTTTGCAGTCTAGACATGGCGGAAGGGGATCGGAAACACGCCTTTTAAAGACATGGGGGACCCTCCCCCTCTAATAGCTACTGAGCAATAAGAAAAGCACCAGAAAAAAGGCATGTTTGTTTCGCTCCGTTACGCGCGCTTTAAAATAAATCCAAAGGATATTAGAATCCATAGTCCCCAACTGAGAGGCTTTAGGAATGTGGGAACCCACACACACACACGAGATGAACCCAGCTTTCCTGTGACCAGGTAACCATTAGAAAAGATTCAGGCGACATAATCGGGGTGACCTTTGGCCAGAGCAGGTTAAATGCTGCCTTTTGTGGGCTGTGCTTAAAAAACAAATGGCACAAGACGATATTCTTCTAACCAATCGCCTTTCCAATATATTAATGATAAAAGCCACCAAGCCTCAGGTATGGTCCGTTTGGGGGAAGATTCCTCCCTCGGGATAGAAATCGATAAGAAAGGAAGCACCAGAGGAAAAGACAGCGCCTCTGTTGCAGCAGCAGCAGCCTGGGCCCGGTGCGCTCTGGGTGGCAGAAAGAGCCTGGCCTGGACGCCCTCTCTGCCCCGCAGCCACGGCTGGCCTTCTGAGGAGCCAACACGTCACTCCCGCAGCAAAACGTCACGTTTGCAAAGAACAGGAGCGCGTGAAGATGTAACGAGGGACTTGGCAGAGGGCGGGGGAGAGAGGACTTCACCTCGCCTGTTCTGAAAGGGATTGGAAATTCGGGGGTTGGCGCGGGGACTTCCTCTTGCCGCCTTCACCTGGGGAGCTCAGGTCACACTACCGGCAAAAACCTCGACGTGAGCGCTCTCCAGCCAGATGCAAAGGACGCCCTTCCCACCCTAGGGAAGGAAGCCTTGCTGGGCCCAATGGGGCGCCATTCCTCTCCGTGGAACTTACTGGCAAGTTCAGCGGCAACGCGGAGGACTGCAGCCTGTCGGACAGCTGGTTTACACAGACGTGCCCATCTCCAAGCGCATTCCCTGGAAGTAAATCCCCTCGGTTCCATTTTAACTGGCCTCCCAAGGAAAAGTGGGTTGGGATCAGGAGTGATACGGTTAAACCTCTGCTGTCCAGTTCTGTTGTTTTGGTTTGACTTTAAGGGAGCAGTGTTGCGTTCCAGCCTACTATCTCTTACATGCAAATCTTCTGACATCGAAAGGCTTTACAGTATTATATACCTCCAAGTAAAATAAGTTTAAGAATCAGGGCATCTGGTTTAAAGCATAATTTTAACTAATGGGACACACCGAATTGCCTAAGAATCCCCAGGCAAGCCTCAGATTGTACATAAAACTATATATAAATGTATCCTCAGCCACAGAGGTTTTTACTGTTGTGGCTTTGTAAAAATATGACGAAGCAGCCTTGAATTAAGAGGGGAAATTTTTAATTCAAATACAGTGTTGTGGTTACCTACAGGGTTTTGTTTTGCACAACAGCTACCAAACCCAGGTGTGAAGCTAACGGATTTTTGACACTAGGAGCAATATCTCTCAACACACACTGTCCATTAGTCTCTTGCCCTGATTCCGCTGAAACTCACTTCCGGCCCACGATCGCTACATTTTTTGCTCCCAACGAACGTTCGAGGGGTTGCCTCCCTTACAACTCCCTTTAATGGAGACACATTCCAGCGTTCCAACCATTCACAAATATGGTAATGATTTTCCGCTTGTAATGTTTGTTGTACCGCTGGAAACCAGTCTTCCTCCTTGGATTCTTCCTGAGGTTGATACCCTTTTGAATTACTTTCTTTTTTAACCGAAAAACAATTACAAACTTGAGATGTGTGTGTGAGAGAGAGATTACAATATATTTTATGACATTTCAGAGTTGCGTGTTCAGGTGACTGCTGAGAATGAAACACATATATCTATGTATATAAAATATTAGATATGTATATTGTTTCCCAAGACAATAACCGTGCATTGGAACTGACAGCATTTCAGGAAACTCGAAGGATTTCACGCCTTACTATTTTAAAAAATGTATTCTGAAAGGCCCTTCTCTCTCTCTCTAATATATATATATGAAATTGGAATTGTTAAAGCTTCCCAGAAATTAAATTCTCATTTATTTATCCCTGCGTCTAAGCTCGCCTTCCGATTATAACGAATATAATAGAACGTAAAAAAGACTTATTAATAATATGTAGAACTCATATTAAAGGAGCGAGCAGATTTGAGTGATAAGGCTTTTCTATGAAGGACAGAATGCTGTTTCGTTTTGTTTTGTTCTGTTTATGGTACAAGTGGCCCAAATCTCCTAAATGCTATCGATCCAACACGCCGTTATTATTTTACGAAGCGAAGGAACAGAACGAATGGCGGAGTAAAACATATTTTAAGGAAGGGAGATTAACATAACTGAGCACCTCTGCTGAATTTTAATTTAAAGTTTTCCCTTCTCACACCTAAGGGATTGCTGCATTTAAATCCATCGCGTCTGCCCTGGAGGAAACCTGTCTTAAATCGCCGAAAAACGTTTTATCAACTTTCTTAAAAATTTACTTTCCCTCACCCTCAGAATGCTCCTTTCTATAAGCAACAGTGAAGCGGGACAGAAAGAGCTATCGACCTGGTGGCCCGGGGTGAAGGGACTGTATTTTACACATCAGGAGGAAGGAAGGAAGAAGGAAGGAAGGAAGGAAGGAAGGAAGGAAGGAGGAAGGAAGGAAGGAAGGAAGGAAGGAAGGAAGGAACTGACACCCGAAGAAACTATGGACACGGGCTCGGTACAAAATCCTAAATGCGCTTTTCCTTCCTTCCCTTCCTTCTTTTCCGCTTCGATCTTCCCCGCAGGCCTCTGACCAGTTTACCCTGAGCTTGGCTTCCCTTACGCCTCTTTTTAATGGAAGAAAAGAAACAAAAAAAAGAAGCCATAATTAAAGCCACGACGTCGGAGGCTCGTTCCAGAACAGGCTCCTTCGGGCAGCAACACAGGCAGGCAACCGGGCAAAGGATACCCGGGCTCCGGATCGAATCGGGTCGTCGATGCGAAACCTGCTTCTTTCTTTTCCCTCCCCGCCCGCCCCCCATCTCCACGCACTCCTATTGTTCCCAGAAAAGCTAAGGGGAAAGTTTGGCTGTTTCTCTCCCTCCTCTCCCTTTTCCTTCTACTTTCCACTCCAGAAGTGCTCCACGATCCCAGCGGCCGTTCCTGCTGTTGCTAGACAAGTGGATTATTATTATTATTATTATTATTATTATTATTATTATATTATTATTATTATTATTATTATATCGCCCGCTGCCCAACCGCTCCTCCTCACCCAAAAGCCTCGAGGCCTTCGGCGCTGGTGTCTGGGGCAGGGAGAGGAGCTGGAGAGACGGAGCCCCCCTCCACACCCCCACGCACCACCTCGCCTGGTGGGTCCGGTGCCCTCCTTACCTTCCGAGGTCCTGCTGGCGTGGTTGAAGTCCTTGAGCTTGTCCTTGTCTCCGTCTCCGTGCTCCTTGAAGAGGTGCACCGGGCAGTGCGCGCCGCTCTCGGCCAGCTCCTGCAGGCTGCCGGCTTCCGAGGCGCCCAGCTCCCGCGAGCGCGCCAGCCCACTCTCCAAAACTTCCCGGTACGTGATAGTCTCCTTCTTGTGGCCGGTGCCTCCTCCGCCGCTGCTGCCGCCGCCTCCTCCACCACCACCACCTCCGCCGCCACCACCACCTCCTCCTCCGCTGCTGCTCTCCTTGCTTTTCTGGTCGAAAGATTTGGAGACAAACGCGGTAAGTTCTTCCATGGCGACCCGGTGGCTGGGGAGGGGGAGGGGGAGAGAAGAAGCGCACGCTCGCGATCCACAGTGAAGAGGTCCTCCGCGCTGCAGCGGCTGGATCTGGGCGTGGGTCGTGGTGGTGGGGCTGGTGAGGTGGAGATCTGCACTCAGGAGGTCCAGGGGGCCGCCTCGTCGGTCCAGGCTGCTGCTGCTGCTGCTTGAAGGTGGTGTTGCGCGTTGCGTGCGCGTGTTTTGTTTTAAATCCTCCTTCTCCTCGTGACAAGCAGCGAGGAAGACCACGTCGAAGAGCAGAGACGGGGCGCTGTCTCGGGGCTTAGATCCCTCCCGCTGTTATTTATGCCTTTCAATGGGGAGATCACACTATTTATACATGGCTACCTCAGCCCAGCCCCCCAGCTCTCTCTGTCTCCAGCAATTACTGCCTCTTCCAGAGTCGCAGGCAGGACTCCGAGGAGCGATCTCCCCCCACCTCGGGCCAGCAATTGGCTTTCTTTGCATTTCATCGCGCTTTGGCACCCGTCGCACCTTGATTTAAGGGTGGCAAAGAGCAGGGAGAGGGAGGGAGGGAGGGAGAGAGGGAGGAATCCAATGAAACTCTTTCCCTCTCCTCTTTCTCCCCCACCCTCCCTCTCTCCCCCACTCCATCCCATAGCCTCCTCCCAAACAGGTATCTCTCCGCATTCTTTTCAATGGCTCGCAGGAACCAAACGGAAAGGAAGGCGTGGGGGCGGCGGCGGCGGCGGCGGGGGTGGGAGAGACTCGAGGAAGACCTGACTGGCTACCAGGAGATCTTCTGCTTATTATGGACACGCTAGGAGCGGGGGGAGAAAAGCTGGGCTGCCAACTCTTGCTAGACAACCGGGAAGGGGGAGGAAATGACAACAAAAAGAGCGGACTCTGGTTGTTCAATAAAAAGGTAAATCCGTGCCAGTTGGAGACGAGTTTTTCTTGGGCGACCGGGGGGTTGTTTCATTGTCGTTCTTGATGTGTATGTTTTGAATGTAGAAACCTGTTATAGAAAAAAGGGGGCATCTTTCGTTCAAATGTCTCTTTCTTTTCAGGAACGTGGTCTTCTTCCCTTCCTCTGATGCTAAGGGAGGGTTAGGAAAATCCCCCTCCTTGGGTGTTTGTGTCTTTGTAGGGCGAGGGGCTCCCAGTGTCTCGAGAGAGGGTCCCGTGGGGGGGGGCGGTCTGTGTGTGTGTTTGCAGCAAATGGCACGGAAAAGCCCCGGAGCTCCGTGAAGGCTAACAAATGCGATCTGTAGCCTAACGTTTCGTGGGTCACAGCACCCGCCGCCCCTCTGTCCGGTGGAGGAGGCTTGGGCCCGCGGAAGGCTTACGCCAGAATGGATGGGGTGGGTTTCTTACATCGAAGTCTACTGGGGAGTTCAGTGGAACTTGTTCCCAAGTACAGTGGTACCTCGGGTTAAGTACTTAATTCGTTCCGGAGGTCCGTTCTTAACCTGAAACTATTCTTAACCTGAAGCACCACTTTAGCTAATGGGGCCTCCCGCTGCCGGAGCACGATTTCTGTTCTCATCCTGAAGCAAAGTTCTTAACCCGAGGTACTATTTCTGGGTTAGCGGAGTCTGTAACCTGAAGCGTCTGTAACCCGAGGTACCACTGTAAAGTGCGTGGAAAGTGGGTGACAGGCAGCAGCCTTAGACTTCAAAGCGCCGGAAGATGTTGAGATTTCTAAACTCTGCTCACTCGCCCGGCAAGATGAAATGCTGGATGAGTCTGTCTCTCTCTGTGTGTGTCTGTCGATCGAATCGACAGTTGTGCCAATTTGCCATGGGGGATTCTTATTGGGACTATCTGCAAAAAAAAAAAAAGAATGCTGGTACCTATGAACAGGATTAAAGCTATTTATTTCGAATTACACACACACATCCAAACACGTGCTGTCAGACTAAAAGCAGGAATCCGGCTGGTTTCTCCAACTGCAGCCTTGCAGCCGCTTCTTACTTCCGTTGTGCTTAGGGCGAACTCCTTTTAAAAAGAAAACTCATTTAAAAAAGAAGCTTAGGTGCTATGCATGTTTACTCAGAAGTAAACCCACCCACCCCGCTGCTCCTTAGTAAGTGTAATAGGAACTGGGAAAATCCTAAACGTTTTTACCCGGAAACAAGTCATTATATTAAATTCAGTGGCACTAATTTCCAAGTGAACATTCGTCTGGCGCTCTTACTCGCAAGTAAAATGCCAATGGATTTTTATTCCCTAAAGTAAATTACATTTTCTTGCTCGGATGCTGGCATCTTCATTCTCACTGTCGGCATCAACGCCCGTCTCCATAAAATGACGTTTAATTTGCACATACTGTATTGGCAAATGTGCAGCGATAGATGGGAATGTCTAGTTGGTTGTTTCCCCTCCTCCTTTGTGTGTGTCTGGGGTGGGGGGGGGGAGAGAATGCACGGTTACAACTCAAATCTCAAAGGATTTAGCCTTTCACAGACTGATGACAATTGTTAAAGGATCCAGCGGGGTATATCCGGTCCATTCTGGTGCCTTAAAAACACCAGATTTTCCCACCTAAAGCGTGCCACAAACACCAGGCAAGAATGTTCTAATCGCCTCTTCTGGTCTGGCGTCCTTAAGGGGAGAATTGATTAATGAAGCTGCGTGCACCGCTTCGCCTCCCCTTTCCCTCGTCTCCAATTTTAACAAATCTTGTTGGGGCATTGAATTATTGTTTCCTGTCTAGCACGGCCCTCTCCTCCCCCCCTTCCTTCTGAAGCTGCGACCCCCGTGCACACGTCCGAGTAAGCGCGCATAGGATCGCGCTGCGTCGTGCATCTTTGATTTGCAAGCGCAAGATGCCACTCCGTTCCGCCTTCTGCGTTTCGGATCGGGGAGCAAGAAACTTTCCGGATGGCTCTAAATCATTAACAGGACCCTAAAACTACGCGCGCGCGCACCCTCCCGATCTCTCTTTCCCCACCTCTCCCCGGAGGCTGTTTTTAATTAATCCGCCGGTGCGCATAAACAGCAGCCTCAGCCACCTCCACCAAGGAAGAGAGGAGGAGAGGGAGAGGAAACAATTAATAAAAGCGCTTTTTAAAAGGAGATCAATTCCGGCGTGAATTTTAAAATAATTATCTGGAGGAACTAGGATTGATCGTTTGATCTCGGCGCAGTCGACCGGCCTCCTGACGTTTACGAGGGGTCTTGCTCCCCACCCCCACCCCACGCCCAGCTGAGAGCTGGTTCAACAAGCGAAGGGGGCGCGGGCTTCCCTAGATCAGAAGGAATGGGTCGTCAAGCCTGCGCGCAAAAACCAATCAGACGCGAGGGAATCAGCCACGGAAATCGAGGATCAATGTGCAAAGTGAAGAATGGCGCGCGCGCGCAGAAACTGCGCTCCTGGAGCATCCATGGCGGAAGGCGCTTACGGACCAGGAGGGGGCAACCCAGGGCCCGATCCTAACCTCACCTTCTTGAACCCGGTCACAAATGCAGCCACGTAGCCAGCTGGCCCTTCCTCCAAGGAACACAGGGGAAGGCATATTTGGTGGTTGTCTCGTTTGTATTCCGCCAACAACTCTGTAAGAAGCGACGCCCGACACAATTCACTTTGCTACAGTGTTGTACCTAGCGGAGAAAGCGAGTTGGGGCAACAACAAAACAAGCTCCCGCTTTTAAGTCGGTTAAGGCAGGTGGGTCGGAGGTCACTGGTCTGCATTAGGAGATCTGGAGTAAGGCACTTGATGGAAAGCTGGCCTATGGCCTGGATGAAAAGGGATGTGCGATTGTTGAAATCAATGCAAACCACCAAAGTTCCAAACCACTTTGGTTCTCTGGAGGTACCCAAAAAGCAGAGAGAGGAGGAGAGGAAGTGACCTTGGAACAGGTGCCCCGCCATTTTTATTGTGCAACATTTCTTCTTCCTATCTATCTGAAGGTCATTCCTTTTCTTATGTTTATTTTATTTGAGGGCTACTCTTCTGTTTTCTTTTGCTATCTCCGAAAAGACCACCGCCAGAAATGGTCCAGGTGGGAGGATTTCACCCACAGGGGGGAGATTCTTGTCATGTGCCCCAAGCCCCACCCGCCTGCCATCCCTAAGTACCACTTCTGTGCAAAACACTTAAAGAGTTTTCTCTGCACTGTCAAGTGTGAAGATCACGCCACGTGTCTATCCTCTCCTACCAATCTCAGTTTCTGGGGAAAATAGACCCGTGTGAAATCGTTGGCATAGAACAGTGCAGACAGACTTTCCTTCATACTTATCTCGCTCTAGTAGCGTAAAAGATCGTGAATGCATTACTGTAGGAAGAAATTGCGTTTAAATTGGTGGAATTTAATTCCAAATTAACGTTTCTTCCACATTCACTAGAATGTTTGGGTGATGATGATGATACTTCCCAGAGATATTTCTCTGGCAAATCTCATGGTAATACCGGCAAAATAGGGTGACTATTTAATCTATTTCCAATAGAAGTTAATTTTCTTGGATCGCAAAGCACCAGCATCATGTGATCGATTTGTAAATACTGTATTGTTGTTGCTGGTGACTTCGGAGGCGGTAATCCCCATTACTAACAATTTTCTCCAGGCTCTCTCTTGCACCCTTTCTTAAACAGAAGTAAGCCCTCGTAGACACCCAAGCTGCGCCTGTGGTCGCCTGTCTCGCCCTCCCCGTGGCAAGGAAGACTTGAGGCGCGCATCAGGTGCAGATGCTTGGCGGAGATTGGGCGCGCGCTTAAAGTGGTCGTCCGCATGCCTCCCACATCTGCCTCGTCAGATGACGGATTTCAAAGCTCCCTTCTTCTGGAAGGCTGATATGATCTAGCCTTGGTCTCTGGGCCTGGCAACTCGGTACTTCCAGGGCCCCGGGAAGCAGACAGGGCCGATACCACTCCCAGCTGTTCAGGAAGAATGGAGGCGTTTGGTAGGGAGTGGGGCGGATGGCTGCTTCCATATAAGGGCCCTACTGAACTCAAGCCGGGGAAGCAAAACCGCTTCCATATTTCTCGCCCTGACATTTTTACGAGCGTCCCGTGGCAAACATAGGTTCGCCTATTTGCAACACAAATTAGGGTTCGTTCTCTGCTCGGAGTTGATGAATTGGGCCATGGTGGAAGCGGGGAAAGGAGGGCAAAGGGAAGAGGGGGTGGGGGGGAGAGAGATGGAGAATGAAAAGCCAGACATTTGATTTTTCAGGAAGGAGCGATCTGAGAAATGAATTGGGGTTTGCAACTTTGTTCCTCGGCGTGGAACTCGGGAACTTTCTTCGAGTTGCCTGCTTGGCGGCTGGATCCAGACCCGGCGCAGCCCTCGCTCCCGTTCAAACGACTGGGAGTGGGAGCGCTGCTTGTCCCAGTGAATGAGTCCTTTGGGAAACCTTTCCCCTCAGCCAGAGAAGGAGACACACTGCCCAGGGGTGCCCACACAAGGAGAAACAGAACTGACAAACCAGAATCTGCATGCCAACTGCTAACGTTTTCACAAGCCCAGGGAGACGTGTGTCTCTAAGAGAGAGAGAGAGAGAGA